GTCCAGTCCAGTCTAGTCTAGTCTAGTCCAGTCTAGTCTAGTCCAGTCCAGTCCAGTCTAGTCCAGTCCAGTCCAGTCTAGTCTAGTCTAGTCCAGTCTACTCTAGTCTAGTCCAGTCCAGTCCAGTCCAGTCTAGTCCAGTCCAGTCCAGTCTAGTCCAGTCCAGTCCAGTCCAGTCACTCCACATCAAGAGCACCGGGAGCCAATAAATAAATAAGTCTTAGCTAAACATGTTTTACATTTTTGTTTACCATCTGCTAAGCTGGTTGATTTATACATATGTTAGAGGTGATGAATGTTTGTTAGCTTTAACTGAATTAATTCCAAAGGTTTATCACTTGCAGATGAATATCAACAATCATTTCCTGTTGACTTTTATCAAGCGGCTCATATGCAATTTTACAGTCAAAATCCAGGATCTTGTGCATTTTACAGTGCTGACTGTGTTCTGAATGACGCTCTGCTACTGCAGCACCACAGTTTAGCTCGGTACCTGTGTAACTGACTGTTGTAACTTTATTATTATTATTATTATTAGTGATTTCATTATTTATTTTCAAATGTCAAGTAAAGTAGCTTTCCGGAGTTTTCCCTGTTAGAAATGACGTAGGATTTTTCAGAAATCCGTAAAAGTTATCATCTTTTTTTTCTAGGGTTAGGGAACCCTAAATAAACCCCGCCCTGCAGAGCTCCGCGTAATAGGAATAGTAATCGGATAAGGGCGATACTCCGGAAAAAGACTTTAACCACAGCAGCCATAATTAACGGGGTTAAAGGTGCAGCAAGAACGACATCTTGTGGTCAAATTTGTCCAAAACAAACGAGTCCGCTCTGAGCAACTGTTACCAGGTGCGGATCAGCACCAGAAGAGTCTAGATGGTGAGTGAAGACGAGTCATAAACAGTAAGTTGATGAAAAGAAAAATACATTTTGCTGTAATATTGAGTTGTTGGTATTTGAAAAAGCAGCTTGAGATACTTTTAGAGCTGACTGTTGTTAACGAGCCCCCGCACCGTGAGAACAAACATCCCAGCTCTAAAGCCGATCTTCATCCGCGTACGTCACGTGACCGGGAAGCAGAAAATCCGTGGGTGTTTCTCAATGCCAAAAAACCTCGCCTTGATGTCTTGGCCCCGCCCCGGTTGCTAAGGAGATACATCATCAGGAGCCGCCAAGACGTGTTCCAATGTTCATGTTCTACCGAGGCGTGTGTTCTCCATTTGTTAGCCGTTTAGCTAGCTGAGCAAGGATACACGGGGAGGTGTCTTGTAGCCTAGCCTTGGTCAAAAATTACCCACAATGCACCGCAGTATTTTCAAAAAGATGGCAAATCAGAAGCCGGCAGCTACTTCGGGGGCAATTTTCAAGTTTAAAAGTAAGTCATCTAGTTTAAATTTTTTTATCCAAAGAAGTTATCTATGGTTGGTTAGTTGCTTAGTACCATGCTTTCGTTCTTTTTAAACACAGAAACAGTTTTGTTTACCTGTTTTGTAGCTACAGTTTCGCCGACGGCTGCCTGCTTCTTCAGGCTGACGCTGATGGTGGCGCGTCACTTCCTTCTCCGTTTATCTGCCCCGTTTTAGTAGCTTAGTAGTTGCAGCTTCGGTGGCTAGTGGGTAGTAACTCACTTATATTTTTAATTTAATAAACATATACACAATTTAAAAAGTAAAAGGCTCGTTATACATTTATATTGACACTAATACATGTAAAATATAACATTGTCTCCTGTGTCACGTGACTTTACGTGACTGCTGTGGAAGTCACGTGATGCAAGTCTGTTCCAGTTAACCGTTTTCTTTGACCAAGGAAGGACAGTATCCTCGTAAGCAAGGCGCCTGGCCTCACAAGACATCGCCTGCAGGGCCAGGCACCTTGACAGTGAGAAACACCCCATGTGTCAGGAGATCGTTTTGGGCCGCTGCTGTAAAAAAAGTGAGGCGCGAACCGGAAAAGCTTCTGCCGATCACAATTTGTCAACGAATTATGAAAGAACGGATAACGCTCGAAACACGCGGATTCTTCCTGATGTGAGAGGTGAGACTCCGCTTTGTTTTGGTTGTTTTGGCGTGGACATCATCCTAGCGTGCAATGTTCTGTGACTCTTAAAAAAACAGTAAAAACGCTGAAAAACGCTGGCAGCGAACGGCTTTACCGATCAGGAAACGGCTGGCAGCGAATGAGTTAATTCCTAGTTAGCACTGTTAGCTCAATGTTAGCCTCTAGCCTTCTTTAGCCGATATTTGCTTCTGGGCTGTTACGTTTAGGTTTTTGCCAGCATTTGCTGCTGGAACCAGGAAGTATGGAAGCAAGACGGATTGTAAACGAAGACCGTGTCCCACTTTGGCTTTTTTAAAGGAGAAAAACTGACAAACCCACTGCCGGCAGAGAAGGAAACCTGCTTCCGTTTAACCTTCCTTCCAGCAGGCCTACCATAGAGCTCCGGGAGTTGACGTCACTTCTCCCGGCATGCAACAGTTCAAATCGAAATGGCGCCATATTGGCAGGCAGAAGCCGGCAGCTGGACTATTTGTTTTTGTCAGAAAACTCAATCAAACAGGAAATATGGTAGATTCCTGTTGTGCCCCAGGATGCAGAACAGACGCGGACGACATAAGGAATGAGCCATCTACAGGATTCCCCAAGATCCGGAGCGCCGCAAACGTTGGATCATTGTAATAAAACGTGCTAGTGACCGGGCTAAAATGAAGCTGTGGGATCCCGAGAGTAAAGGTTTTCGCTTATGCAGCGACCGCTTCATATCAGGTACTTAAACCAACGTTTCCTCAACTGTGTATGGTATTTATTTTAAATGCTTTTATTACGATTCTTAGCAACAAGTAAACATCACGTAAAACGTTGCCTCGTGAGTTCTGCGTGCTGCCGTTTACTTGTTTTATGATCACAGCAATCAACCAGCTAAGCTGTGTTTAATTTTTAAGTAATGGTTGATCAATTGTCAGATCACACATAAAAAGCACTTTGGATTGCTATTATCTGTCTCACCGAGACAGATCTCAGACAGATCCTGAGACGTTTCTATTTTTTTATATTTTATATTTATTTTATTCACGGGAAAAAAATCAGACTAGTGATTTTTCTTGGCGTTCAGTTTATACATTTAAACAGCACAGCACTCTATTTAAACTTCTTACATGTAAATCTGTTATTTGTTCATCCATCCATCCATTTTCTTCCACTTATCCGGAGTCGGGTCGCGGGGGCAGCAGCCTAAGTCGAGAGGCCCTGACTTCCCTCTCCCCAGCCACTTGGGCCAGCACCTCCGGGGGAATCCCAAGGCGTTCCCCGGCCAGGTCCAGTAAGAAGTCCGCTCCGACAGCTTCTGGCGTTTTTAAAAAGTATCCCAGGGGCACGGTAAGGGTCGAAGATGTTTAGTCTATTTAATTTCTGACTATATAAAACGATTTCTTCGGTTTGAAAGTGTGAAGTAAACTCCGACGAAGTACAATCCAAGCCGATCCCGTTCATTATGTTTACCTTTGTTGCCTGCCAACATGGCATCTACTCTCTGAGAGTCACGTGACGTCCGGAGCTCTATTGGCTTGAGCAGTAGGGTGTTTGGTGGGCGGGATGATGCCATGGAGCGGAATAACTAAGATGCAACGGCTCGTTTGAAATGGCTTCTAAACTGGACTATTTAGACTTGGGCTTTTCTTTGAGTCAAGAGCAGATTTAGGTACTTAAGTACTTAATTTAGAAAAATGATGTAATTGTGTCTTCTACTACAGTGTGTGGAGGGCTGCCCTATTGACTGATATCCATAGTGGCGAGTACGTCACGTTGCTCATTGTCCAATAGCCTGTGGAGACAGTTTGGAAGACAGCCGCCCCACGATGAGCTCCCCCTACGGGTCGCGGCCAGTCTACATATTCACCTATATAGGGTGGCTTGCCAGGCTGTTGTAGATGTGAATCCAACGACAACGTCCTGAGAGTTTCGCCATCAGTGGTTCCCAAACTGGGGTCCGAGACCAAGGCTAAGCTTAGTCCCATTCTGTCCCGCTCTGAACTTGAGACAGTTCTCCACACCTTCATCTCCTCACACTTAGACTACTGTAACTCTCTTTTCACGTGTCTGAGCAGAACCTCCCTGAACCGTCTACAGGTGGTTCAGAACGCCTGTGCTCGGCTTCTGACCAAGTCCTCCAAACACACCCACATCACCCCGCTTCTCCTCCAGCTTCACTGGCTTTCAGTCAACTCCAGGGTTCATTTCAAGATCCTGGTTCTGGTCTATAGGGCCTTACATGGACAAGCACCATCTTACATTGGTGATCTTCTTAGTCCCTACACCCCCAGCAGGTCCCTGAGGTCCAGTGACCAAAGTCTACTGGTTGTGCAGCACCAGGCTAAAGGTCAAAGGTGACAGATCATCTGCTGCTGTGGCCCCCAGACTCTGGAGCTCTCTCCCCCTGAGCCTGAGATCAGTGGACTCAGTGGTCTCCTTTAAAAAGCAGCTGAAGACTCACTTGTTCAAGCTGGCTTTTGTATGACCTTCTTCACCTCTCTCTCTTTATTCTGCTCTCCCCACCTATTCCACCTTCCTCAGGATCCACTGGTTTCCCTCTTTCCTGTTCACTCTCTCTCTTTACATTTTTAATCACAATTGTCTATTTTTGCTCATTTTAAATATATTTTTAAACATTTTCAAAATGCTTTTTTTTCTATTTTTACAATTTTTATATTTTTTGTTTTTGTTTTTATGAAGCGCCTCGTGATTTTTATCTGAGAGGCGCTATAGAAATGATATTTTCTTCTTCTTCACCAATGTGGTCCACACAAGAGGATGATGGGTGATCCTCATCATTTTGTTTGTACTGAGGTTGTGAGGTTGGCGAGATTTTATTAGTACAAACCACATTCATAAACTGTATAATCCAAACTCCATATAAAGCTTAGTCTCTGTCTGCATGATTGTGACGTTGAGAGCAGGAGGACTGGACCCAAAATGCAGAAACCCAGAAACTGCTCAGGCAGGAGTGGTTGCATAAATAATAATTCCTTTTATTAGGATGAGGAGCAAAAAAATCCAAAAGGGCAGGAAGCCAAGCCTTGTGTACAAAAACACTGAATGACAAAAAACAAAAGCTCACTTATGAGCAAGAACCTAGAGCTTCTAGCGAGGAACAGCGCTGACAAAGACAATGGACCAACAAACACAAGAGACAAGCCAGGGTTATATACACAGGAGCTGGGTGATTAAGGGAATTGGGGACAGGTGAGACTAATGAACTGAGAGGAGGAGCAGAAACAAGCAGGGGAGAAACCCAGATCTAAACCCTGTAAAACAGAAGCTACTAAACTAAACTAAACCTAAACACAGGAGAACAAAGGCACAGGGGATCTAAAGAGGAGTGACTACGAGGAACATGAGGGAAACCTGGAGGGGGCTGGGGACCAAAAGTACACACAACATGACAGCGATGGGCAGAAAGCAGCATCCTCACTTTGCTCTGCTGCCTTCCAGAAGCCAAAAGTGATTTATTACAGCGAAAATGTTCAGACAACATCCAGTGCTTAATATGTTACAAGGCTCGGTGAAACACGCTGACCACACACGAAAAGAGAGCTTGACTTGGTTCATCGAAGGCATCCGGTTTACCACACACACACCAAAGAGAGGGTGTTGTTTCTGTCTGAGTCGCTGCAAACAAGCTGAATCCAAACGCGGGCTCTGCATGTGACGGCCGTGCTTCTGAAACGACGAGGCGCAGAAAGACCTGGCGCCATCAGACGAGAAGAACATTTCACTTTGAGTCAAACATGTGAGAACGTTGATGAGTAAGATCTGTTCTCATGGCCACACACACACACACACACACACACACACACACACACACACACACACACACACAAACACACACACACAAGCACGCACGCACGCACGCACACACACACACACACACACACACGCACACACACACACACACCAGCGGTTCAAACCTGCGTCCCAGCTCTCTCTCTGATTTGCAGGAGGAAATCCTGAGAAAGAGATAAGAGAATAAAACTGTTTAGACTTCCCGGGGAGATCGGAGCAGAGATCTCCAGGTGCTCCACTAATGGTGATAAATTCTCTGAAACTGATGGTGCCTCCAAACCACCACGGTTTATTTTAAACGCACATCTCTGAACTCTGGTTTTCTCTGTTCCGCTCAGCCGGCGCTCCGCTCCGCTCCAACGTTTCATTTGAACCCACAGGCAGACCCTAACCCAAACTCATCTGATGAACTATTATTAGCACTCAGTTAGCATCGTTTAGTCGTTGCTTTGAACATCAGTCCAGAGTAAAGGCCAGCGAGTGCTGAAGCAGTAAAAGTTGGTTTCAGGAAGTAAGTAACGGTTTAAGTTAGATTCATTGTAAGAATTCCAGCTAAGAACATGTTGATCACCACGTTGGCAGATTACTTTCATTCAAAACAAAAACATTCACCTTATTTCAAGTAATGCTGTTTCTACAGATGATAAACCGTTGCTAATGATCTAAAAACAAGGCTTTAGTTACTCTCTTGAGAGTCCGCTTTTGCGTTACAGAAACAATGCAGAGACGAACAGATGGTCGACTTTTCACCGGCAAACTGACCAGAAAGTGATCCCACCGTTTGACCAGTGTTGCCAACTGTTTTTGACTGAAAGTAGCTGAAGTTCCCCCCAAACGCCGCTAGATGTCGCCAGATGACGTCATGTGCTAATTTGCATATTGATGACATCATTGCACCACATTGGCGTTCATTTTCCCCATAGCGTAACTCAGGCCTCCTGCTCTCCTCATTCTCACAGCCATTTTCCTAAAAAGCAGTTTTTTTTACACCTCCTAGTTTCTCAACTTCTCTGTTGTGTTTTCTCTCCATCGTGATAATAACGGCGCACCGAGCAAAAGGGAGCGGGTGTTAGGGATGAGTACCGAATTCGGTACTTTTTAAGGTTCCGACCAAATTCCATAGTACCGACTGAGCACCGATTCACGTCATTTGAAACGGTGCCTCGTTTCGGTACCCGTCCTTCATACCGAGAACTTGCCTAGACAGTAGCGCATGCGCAAGAGCGTTATGTCGTCGGTCGCTGCGAGCCAGTAGTAAACAGAGCAGCATGGTAGAAAGAACGCACGCTAACGCTTGGATCCACTTCACTAAATGTGATGGGTAACTGGGTGATGATGAAACCAGCGACAACGATCTAAGTGAGACATCCTCATCTTAATCTGCTCCGGTAGGTAAATAAAATGTTTAAAGATAACGTTAGCTTGATATGTTAGCTTCCGTTTCGCTAATGGTGCGTTCGCTTTCTCCTCGGAACTCCGAATTTCCGACTAGAAGAACATGAACGCGCTCTAAAGTTTGGCTTCACTTTACTAAATGCGACGGTCGATTGGGTGAAGATGAAACCAGCAAAAACGATCTAAGTGTGAGGCATCATCGTTTTAATCTGCTCCAGCAGCTAAATTAACTGTTTAAGATAACGTTAGCTTGATATGTTAGCTTCCATTGCTATCCTTGTTATCAGCTAATGGTGCGTTCGCTTTCTCCTCGGAAATTTTAACTTCCCAGTAGGAAAAATCAAATGAAAAAGGACGGCAAAAGGAATGAAGATACACAGTAAATTTAGTTCACAGTAAAGATGTTTGCTTCAGTTTAATTATCAGCTTATAAAACTACAAGGACGATGTTAAAATACACACAGTTGAATGTTATTTATCGTGATATTTATCAAATATTGTTATAAATTGAGAAAAATATATATTTAATTATAAAAGAGAATTAAAATATTAAACACTCAAAATTATCGAAAATTGGTACCGTTAAGTACCGGTATCGATTCCTAGGTACCGGGAATTAGTACCGGATCGATTCAAATGTCAAAGGTACCCATCCCTAGCGGGTGTCTTATGGTATAACCATCCCGGTGTCACTGAAGGAAATTCAGATGAGCCACAAAGCTGCGTAAACGGGACGGTAGCTGAAACTCCCGTTGACTTTATTTGCCAAATGCAGGAAAAGCCAAAGTGTCTGACGGCTGCAGAACCAGAGATGGCAGGTTCTAGTAGAGGTGTGAGCCTGCAGCAGCAGCAGACGTCGGGGGTCTCCAGCTCTGCAGCTGTACCTTTGTCTTCGGCGAATCGGCCCGGCCGAAAACGGTTTATGATTGGTCAGTCCTCGTGCACATGTGCAGATTATCTTCTCTTTCCTTACTCCCGGAAGAACAGTTCAGAGTGCAAATGGTTTCTTTGTTGTTAATCTGTAGGGAATTTCTGGAAGAAAGGTCTAAAGAAAGTAGCCACGGGTCCTGAGAAATGTCGCTAGCAGGGTCCGAAATTAACACTCGCCACTCGCCAAATGCGAGTAAATTGCTCCACCTGGCGAGTAAATGTTTGCACCAAATTAGTTATGTTTATCAGTCATCTTCCATGGATTTCTGATACTTCTCCCGCCTGCATGCAACGTACACAAACGTACGCGAAACGTGAACGCCGCATCCAATGTCATTTCCACCTATCCCATTCAATCAGTTTATCAAGTTAGCCGTTAGCTTCGTGTTAAAACTAGCGGTGAAATGTGGCGGTTTTTAACTGGAGTCAGCCAGCCTTCCAAAAGAAAACTCGTCGAACTGGAAGAAAAACCACCAGGACCAGTGGCAACCAGAAGATTTTGTGAAAAGTGGCGAACTGGAGATGGCGGAGTCGTGAGACAATGGCTACATTATGATGGCCACGTAGCGTTGCTGCCTTTCACAGACAACTGTCCCTCGGCATTCTTCAAATATCCCAAAAAAATGCCCGTACTTCCGACTTTGTCTTCTTTGAGGGATAATAAATGTCCCGAGTGCTGCCGTCTCCTCCTTTGGCCATTATTTCAGCTTTAGCTTAAAGAAAGTTTTGGTTGTAAACAACAAAGTGCGCATGTGCCGCCAGCAACTTCCAGCAGATGATACGGTGGCTGGTAAGGGTCACCGCGCCTACACCGCAGCCACGGTAACCCACCGAGATAATATAGTTTTTTTAAAACAAGACGGTTATTATTATTGTCAACTTTTTTACCGGGGTTTACCGCTACACCGGTTACCGTGACAACCCTAGCCCTGACACACTTTCAGATATTCTCATGGTGCAGCTGTGTTCTCCAGAGATCAAGGACTAGGACCCAAATGAGGCTGTAATGCTTTGGCCCACAGACGGTGTCAGAAGCAGGAGGCCAGACTTCATGGACAGAGAAAACAAGGAGTCTGACTAGATTTAAATGAAAGAGTTCATGAAAACATCGCTAAAAATAAATAAATAGTAAAAATGACAAAAGAGTTGTTTTCCTTATTAATTGATGTTTTAATTATTTTGTCACTCTGTTTGGAATCAACATAATATAGAATTACATGCTTTAGGTAGATCTAATTTAGAATTTTGGCCGGTAAAAAATATGCTTGGCCGGTAGATTTTCATCATCTACCGGCCAACTTGGCCGGTGAGTAAAACATTTAATTTCGGACCCTGGTCGCTAGGTTTGTCGCTAGGCGCTTTTTGGAATAAAAGTCGTTGAGGGGGGGTCAAAAAGTCGTTAGGAACAGTGGCAACACTGCGTCTGACTGGCCTCCAAACCCAGAACTCTTTTTTTCCCATCTTGTATTTCATTTAAAACATAGCAACTTAAAAAATAAAATAAAAAGAATGAATACAACTTACAATGGAAAAGGAGCAGATAGAAGAAAATCTTACATGTAATCCGCCCCATTCACAGCCTCAGCAACAAACAGACAAACTCGCCAACAAAGATTACTGAGACAGCCACCAAGCAGCTTGCTGCTACGCAACTATCAATCCTTGGATGGAGTTTCAACACCTTAGTTCAAAATCATTGCTGATCAATACAGAAAAAATCAAATTAAAAGGAAAATACACTCAAGAGTATTCCATATAATTTCTTAACATTTAGGTTTTTACATTCTGTTTGAACATTATGATTGATTCGGCCTCTTTCATTACGTATTCCAGACACAAGGAAACACAGCACTCCAACTTTTTAATTCAAGTCAATTCAGTTCAAAATACTTTATTAGTCCCAGAGGGAAACTGATTGCTGTAGTAGCTCAGAATAATAATAATAATCAGGTCATCAAAGAGTTGTTGTATATTACAATGGCTGTTGGCAGGAAGGGTCTCCAGTAGCGGTCAGTGTTGCAGCCAAACTGAAGAAGCCTCTGACTGAAGACACTCTTCCGTTGTCAGACAGTCTTGTGAAGAAAATGCTCAGGGTTGTCCATCGTTGTCTTGATTCTCTGGAGAATCCTTCTTTGTACTATCTCCTCCAGCGGTACCAAAACTCTGGCTGAGTCCTTGAAAGGGCTTGGAGTTCCTCCATCTTGTTGGCCAGTGATCTCACATTGCCCATTATGATCGATGGAAGAGACGGTTTGAATTTCCTCTTTCTCTGTCTCCGTCCCGCTCCCACTCTGCACCCACGCTTCTTGCGTTTTAGCTCATTTGGGATTTGTGGCTTCAGTCGAGGTATTATTTCAGCCTTTCCAATGTTAATCAGCTGCTCCCGGTTGTAAACCAGCTTGTTGCCATGGTTACGCATCATAAAAAATGCTCAGAGTGAAAAAAGCTAAAAAATATATATATACAGCAGTAAAAATCCTCCAAGCTTCACAGCACCAGAAACAGAAAAGTAAAATGTCCAAAAAAAAACCAGTTTTTCTTGAGAAACTAGAAGAAAAAATGTCCAAGAAAAGGCAAAACTTACATATAGTCAACAGAGCTACTCCAACATGCAGCCACCCAGAGCAGCGCAGTTCCGGGGAGGGGGGGGGGGTTGGGGGGGGGGTCCTAAATCTAGGTTTTATAAATATCTCGTACACTTTTAAATTGTAGCAACTTTGTCTTTTTTTCTAATTTTATTTGAATATTTATTGGTAATGATTTTTTGTGAGTTTTATACATGAATTTTACTATGTTATGATCCACTAAATCTGGGAACTGTAATACTCTTAACTCAGCA